TTTTAAGCCATTTAGTAATTCTTCTGCTACTATCTATATTTCTTTTTCCCTTACTACTCATATCTAGTCTTTTATTTAGTACTGTATTGAAATCTCCTAGGATCGTATAGTACATATTTTACTTATTTCTGATAATCTCTTCTATTAATATCTTATGCACTTTTTTTGTTATTTCTTCATTTTTGGATGGTAAATACGTTATCCATATTTGCAAAATTACTTTTTTGAAGAAGAACTCTGCTTTGAGCAAGTATGGACTATATCTTTTGCATACCCCTATGTTTTCTATTCAACTTTCATCTACTAACAAACCTATACCTAATCTCTTATGTTTGTCTTTATTCGCTTCTGTTCAAAAAGCTATATATCTAAATTCTTTAGTATTTATCTATTTGCCTTTTTGTTCCCTTATATTCGTTTCTCTAATCCTAATTATATTATAACCTTCTGACTTTCTAAATTTAGCAAGTTGTTCTACTTTCATATTATCTCCCTTAATTCCATTGATATTATGTGCTACTATTTTTATAATATTCTTTTCTTTCTTCTTTGGTAACCTGTCCTTACCTCTTGTTAATTCTTCTTACTTTTGGTTTATGCTTTCTTCTGCCTCTGTTCTTCTTTTAAGTTTTCCTTCTTGAATGGAGGAGTTTATCATTAATTCAACTTTGGCTAAATTTAAGAACAATTTGGGACTTCATGTCCTAGATCACTTCTAAGATTACTTAATTTTCTTTCTAAAGCTTGAATACGTTGTACTATATAATTAAGTAATTCTTTGTATCTATTTTGTTTTGAATACTCTTTTTTTTCTTCATTAGAATAATGATTCCTAATCTTCTTGAATTTGTTATCTCTTCTTTCAATTGAACTTTTTCTTTTTTCTAAGTTTTGAATAGATCATGTATTGTAGTTTATTTCTTTTTTACTTTCTTGTCTTGTTTTTTCTAGATTTCCTACCTTTTTGTTGTAGTACTTTTGCTTTCCTTCTATGTCTTCTTCCTAGCTACATTCTTCTTCTGCAAAATTCTCTGTTGTTTTCTAATATAGCTTCATATTATAATATGAGATACTAAACTTTTCTGCTCGTATCATATCTTTTCTATTTCTAAATGATACTACTGCATATCCCTTATTATTGCTATTCGAATTTTTAAAAACATGGATTGCCTTTGCTTCTGTGTGTCTTAGTTGTCTAAAGAGTAATACTTTATTTACATTTTGTAATATATTAAAAATCTTCTTTGTAAACTGTTTACAGTTTTCTAATATCTCTTTTCTACTTAGGGCTAGAGTTATATGTACTAGTAAATTGCTTGTTAGTAGAATAATCCAAGCTTTTATACCTTGAACAAAGCTACTCTCTTCTTCAAATATTACTTCTGCTCTGAGATTTCCCTATTTTTCTTGAATCATTTCAATATTTTTAACTCTTCCTATATATCTTATCATATAAAATACTTGTGTTCTTGTTGTTTGGTATGGTATATTCTATACTGTGATTGACTCTTCAATTCTTGAAATATAACTTCTTTGTTAGCTCTGATCATTATCTTTCCTAATTTCTTTCTTTCTTTCTTCCCAGTTTTCTTGTTTAAACATTCTTCTTTTTCCTTTGTCTACTTTCTGCAATGGCTTCATTTCTTGCTACTGTTACTATATTGCTATCTACTTCTAAAATTTCTGCAATCATTCTATCTATTTGGTCTTCAAGGCCCATTACTGCATCGCTTCCTTCAGCAATTATTTCTTTGCCATATTCTTTTGTTACTATCCCACTAGTCTTGTTGCTTTGGCTCTATTCCACATATTTTCTAAATTTACCTTCTTTTAAAGTGATCTCGTCTTTTTTTGGTAATTCCCAGTAACTTTTCCTGATTGCCTGTGAGCTATCCAGTTTTGGTTTGGCGTGTATTGTTTCTAATATTCAACACGTGATACGTCAATTTTCCTATAACGCATTTTGTTTACCTTAGTTCGCACATGATTGTACTATGTCAAATGATCTGCGTCTCAGGGTTTGTTTGAATCTCCAAAAATCTAAAAAAATATTTCGACGTCTGTTCTAAAGTCTAAACTTCTTTAATATTTTAAGTTTCTTTAGACTTTTCTTCTATTTTCCTATTTCGTTATATGTATTTTTGAGTTTTGAATCTTTTTCCTTATAAGCTTTTACTATGTTTTATAAGCTATTTAAAAAGTTTTCTATAGGTTATTCTTTAGCTTGAATTTTGGTAAAAATGATCTACGGAGAGGAATCTTTAATAGTTTGTACAAGTATATTAGCTATATTATTTAGATATTATTACTATGAGCTAGCACTTTGTAAAATGTAATAGTAAGTTTGTAGGATTTAAAAAATTGAGTAGTATATATCAGATAGGCTAGTTATTATAAAAGTAAGAATATGAGAGATTTATTATTGTTTGATAGAGTTTTTAATATTTATTTATTACAGATTATGAGTCTGTAAAGATATTAATTTTGTAATTACAAGAAGCTATACTAATTGCTAATAATATTATAAGTAGTTCTGTTTATAAGATGATAAATAGTATAAACTTGTGTAGTAAAAAAATTTGTTATGAAGTTGTTTTTAACTTGTATTTATCCAATACTCATAGAGTAGTAATTAGTTATCAAGTTGTAAACTGATCTATTTGTATAAAAGATAAGATTTGTAAAATTAGAATTAGATATTGTAATATTGTTTAAGTAAAGAGATGAGCTATTTGAATTGAATATTTTTAAAACAGAATTAATATAAATAATAATATTTTGAGTATAGGATATATAAAGTAGATATTTGTTTGTAGTTGTATAGATAAGATCTAGATAATTAGCAATAAATTTAAGTTGTTTTGTTTGGTTGTTAGAGATTTTTTTTCCTCAAAATTTTGTTAATATAGTAGCTAAAATATCAAAAGTATATTGGTTTTTAATTCTATTAGAATTTAGATAGCAACTAAAACAAGAGCTATATGTTATAAGTAGAGTTAGATAATAATCTGTATATAATATGCTGCTTGTTTGTCAGTTATTTGTTTAGTTTTGAGTATATTTATAAGATTATTAGACTTTTGAGTAATGTGTTTGATTTGTTGAGACTGTTAGTAGCTTAGAAGGAACTAGTAGTATAAAAATTTAAAAAGAGTATTTTTAGCTAATAGAGTGATTGATTGTTAAATAGATTTAATAGAAGTTAGTTTTTTTGTATTAGTACTAAGAATAGATTTGAGTAAGTTGAATTGTATATTAGCTAATAAAAAAGGATAAAACAAGTATTAGGATTTGCTCAAGCTTATTTTTTGAATGAGCTATTCATAATATATCATCTATAAATACCAGAACAGAAGTTGATATTTGAAGCTAATTAGTTTTTTTCTTTAAAGTCTATAATCTAAAAGACTCCTAAGCTGTAGCCTTTATATTGATTAGTGATATGTAATATTAAAGGATTATAGTAAATTCACTATAGCAAGAATATAATTGTTTCTTCTTAAACTATTCTATTTCTAACTATATATGACTATATTAATTCAAAGTTAGTAATAACCTTGTTGGAGTAGTTTAAGAGTAGGTTAAGTATAATTTAATAAGTTGAAGTAGGAATTAAATTTTTTCAAGAGATTTTTGAAATAAATTTATATTAACAGAGTTGTATGCTTTGCTCATATCCTGTAATAGTAGTCAAATCTCCTTATTATTATAGTATGAGTCTTTAATAATATTGTTAAGAATATGAATTAGAGTTGAAGTACTATTTTCTAAAAGAGCAACATAGTTAAGTAGAGAGAGGATTTGTTTTAACATTAAAGAAGGAGGGCCCTTAACCTGGACCCCCGGTCTAGGTTATTAACCTGGACCCCTAGATATATTAAATTTGATTGGTCAAAAAATTTGACTTGCGATACCTTTATAATTTCTATTATAAGTATTATTTTACGCAACAGCTAAAACATTGGCTCAGCATATAAAATAATAAATTCTGCTGTAAAATTCATTATGGTCAATTTTAAAAATGATTACTAACCAAAATCGCAAATTTGATAAAATAGAATTTATTATTTTACAAAGTATCACGAACAATTAGACAGTAAAAATAAATTCGCAATAATAGATTTTAAGTAATTTTAATACTTGTGTAGTTCTACATTTCCTCCTAAATGGACCCCCCTTGAGACTGTAGATAACGAAAGTAAAATATGTATTTAGAGTGTGTGTGAATTTGTAGAAAGCAAAATACATATAGCTGTTATAAGATGGGACCGATCTATATCGTGTTAGAGAGAATACTCATTAAAAAGCTAATACGATTAAATTAAATAAATAGTACAGTATAATGTTACAAATAATTCGATCAATAACTAACCAAATTAATATTAATACTATAAGATGATATTAAATAAGCATTATATTAAATGCTAAGCTGAAAAGCTTATAATAAATAATTTGATTAATAAATAGTTACGTATTTGTACTTATTAATTTAATGCTAATAAAATCAAATAAAATAGATAGTAAAGTACTGTTATACCTTAATACAGTACATTTAATAAATATTATTAACTAAATTAATATTCTGTAAAAAAAATAAATTATATAAGAATAATAGTAAATGCTATAAGTTTGAATAGCTTATTTTTTTTTTTTAAACCTCGAGATAGCAATTTTCTGAGAACGTCGAGTGCTGAGTTTTAATAGCTTATTTTAAATTAATTGATTATATTAATTAATATTAATAAAATAGTCATTATACTTAATAACTACTTTGAATACTTTATTCTAAGAAATTCATAAATAAATAATCGGTATATTCACTAAATAAATTAACCAAATAAAATAAAAGAATAGCGAATACTATAAGCTTGAATAATCTATTATAAATGCAGTAAGTTGATTAATAAACTCACTAACAAAATTAGTGCTAAAATAATATAAACAAATCCATGAATAAATAATCATCATACTTACTATTAATTAATATTAATATAGACAACATCTTTAAGCAGTTTGAGATTTTTAATATTAGGTAAATCCGAATAAGAATAAGCAATGTTTTTGACTTCTAACTTGGTAATGTATATTATTCAAATTTCGTGGTGATTATTACATAGATAATAAGACTTTAGCAACTGTTAAACTACTATTCGTATAACAAGTATTTGTTTGAACTGTTATTTTAAATAAATTGATTAATAATCATAATGATGATACTCCAATAAATTAGTGCGATAAGACAAATTAAGCTTACCTTAAATAAATGTTTAATAAAAGATCTTTATAATTAAATTTATGGTGATAAAAATAAACGAAATTAAATAAGAAGTATAATACTAATAAGATGCAATTAAAAATATTTCTGAACGAAAAATATCTATATATTAAGTAAATTTTTTTATATTGCTAAATTTCAATTTGTTAAATCTGCATGTATATAATCACCAAAAGAACTACTATCTTCCATAATTTTTCTTGCATCTTCAAGTTCAATATTACCCCTGTCTTGAGAAATTAAACGCAATGCAGTTTCTGGAACTAAAACTTCTAGTAAATAGTCTATTTGACTTTTGGGATAAGCTAAATCACTAGTTAGAACATTTGTATATAAAAAAAGATCAGAAAGTACGCTACTAATAATATCTAATCCTCGTGAACTATAATATCCTGGCTATAAAATAATTTGAATTAAATAGTAATGTCAAATAATATTTAATTATAATAAATACAGTAATTATAATATATGTATAATAAATATATTTAATACCTTAAAAGTATTATATCGGCCCATTATTGTCATAGGATTACTTGCTTTTCTTTGTCCAATTTCATTACAAACTCTAAGAGCAAAGTCATAATAATAACTTTTTGTTTTTCTATTAATAATATTTAAGAGTTCATCTTTCATTTGAATAATACGGGAGTTTAGTAATGCAAAGTTAATTTCTGTTGGGTAGCCTTTTTGAATACCATCAGGTACTATAGTAGTTTCCATATAATGAATTTCACAAAACATTTCACGATCTTCAAGTGTAGGATTACCTATAAATATAAAATTATTTTAAGTTTTTTTTTTTTTTTTTTTCCTTTGACAGTCACGTCATTAACTTTATTAAGTTGCTAACTACGGCCTTAGCCAAGTT